GTGCTAGGGCGTTAGGCAGGGCCTACGGCCGAAGTCCAAAAGGGGATTCTGTGCTGGCGGGAGTGTCGCGAATCGCGCGTCGCTCCCTGGAATCCCTGGACGTGCCGGCGCCTGCGAGCTTCGTGTTGCCATGACCCAGCATGACCTATCCGTGATCGTGCGGCAGCCATATTGACGGCACCATCACGGCCCTCCCGGGTTCCCCAGTTTTATCGTCTTTTCGTCCCGTATCCGGCAGCCGACTCGCAGGGCAGCGAGCCTTTAGAACCTTATTTCTTCAGTGAAGGGTTTAGTTCACCGGCGGTCCTTCGACGGGTCAATGGCGGTGACCCGACGTGAGTGTTTTTTACTAACCTTGATGTGACTTGACTTCTCCACAGTTACAATTAGTTCATAAAACTTACTTTTATTTTTGTCGTGCTTCCGTATGGTTTCACCCAAGTTCGCTACTTGATGAGTAACTTGAAAATTCTTATTGATCGGAGATACGTTGATTAGCGATAATTCACTTCATGGGTATCCCAACTTTAAAGTCATGTAGGAGTCGACCGCTAGTGCTAATGCTAAAGTCAGGGCGCAGAGTAGTTCACCAGGGGTTACCGTCCTTGTATTCCGTGTGAGCCCTCACCAGGCAGCTATCGGAATACACCCTGTGGGGTCACCGAAATGCGACATGGTGCATCGGCCGTGTTGAAACGGACCCGTGCGGCTATCGTCTTAATCGATCGATAGTCGATAAACATGGCACTACCACCACCCACAGGGCGGAACTACACCCCCGCGCCCCAAACAGGACAAGTGGTACCACGCAAAGCAAACGGAAATAGTTCATGAATTGGGATGCGAACCGTTGCAGTGACCTCGGCTGCACTAATTGTTTAGAGGTGGCAACTAAACAGTTATGCATCCACGCACAGGGAAAACTAGCAGCACAATGCCCCAGGTAAATACGAAGGATAAGTGCAAACACATGAGAAGGACGGATGAGGCCACACGTGAGGGGGCAAAAATAGGCCCCCAGCCAGGGCTGTCAAAAGCGAAGGAAATGCAGACAGGCGGAGCAGAGTAGACTTGAGATCGCGATCATCAGACTTGTTAGTCCCACTAACACTGGGCGCACTAAGGGAACAGCTGTTCATCCCCTCTACTATGTGGGCTGGCCACCCAATTAGGTAGCTAGGGTAAAGTGTTTGTGTATGGGTCTACCGACACAGTGGACTCCCTTTCTCACTTACTTCAGACTTAACCTTCGGATCACTCATGTACTATTTCTGTCGAATGCTAACATTATAACAAGTTCACTTGAATCTAGTCTAGAATTTCCTTTTAGTGACTAGTAAAGCGATCGATTTAATTTTTCTTATATGTTTAGTATCCTATTTGATAATATGGTTACAACAATATATTATAATTCTCATATTATTATATACAAGTAGTAGAACTTCAGCGAATATAAATATAATAGGCAAATTTATTTAAACGTATTCATATTGAATTTTCTCTTATTTTCTTCAGTTTTAACATCTTTTCATGGTCACTTCCATTTACTCTCACCATTCCTCACATATTGTGTAATACAGTATCCCGGAGTTCCACACGGGACCCTCTGATACAAATGAATTTCACAGTAGTTGTTTGTCGTCACGTCGAGAAACAAACCAAAAACAAAAAACACACATCTCGAACGGTCATTTCAGGTTTTACCCCAAATTTGGAATATTCGTGGCTTACCTGTCACAACTGCTGATACGATGTCGGCCTCCGGATACGTGAAGGGCCAAATCACGAGGGCAACAAACGCCCTGAAGGAAAAACTGACGGCTGCGGAACAAACAATGATTGAATTCTACGCTGTCAAGGACTCCAAAGAAGATCTCGAGAAGGATTCAAAGACGGTAACAGCATGTAAGCGACAAATGTTAGATATAGTAGTAGGTTTGAACCAATGGGTGGACAACTTGAGGAGCGCTTGGCAAAGAGGAGAAAATTATATCAAGGAACTAGAAGACGAAAAAGCACGCTTCGACATACTTCAGGAGTTCATGGATCACTGGGAAGCCAGTCGAGCCGAGCAACTTATAGCAAATGCGCAAGTACTGGTTATTACAGCTGAGTCTATAAAAGCAAACCTGGAGAACACTCCTCCAAGTGAGGAGAAACTGCAAGATAAACAATACACGAAACATACTTCAGGAGTTGAAATTCAACTGCCTAAGTTGGAAATACCAGAGTTTGAAAGGAGACATGGTTCATTTCCCAGAGTTCTGGGAACTGTACTCCATAGCCGTACACAACCATCCGACATTAGGAGCGGCGTCCAAGTTTCTACACCTTAAGAGTAAGCTTAAGGGACGAGCCGGAGACCTGATAGCTTCCATGAGATTATCTGCAGAGAACTATCCAAGAGCAGTAGAGCTTTTACTTAGTACATATAATAGACCAGACGTTTTAAGGAACAGACTTGTGGAACAACTAGAGGCGCTGCCTCCAGCAGGAAAAGCCGTAACTGATCAACGTACTACATTGTGCAAAGTAAAAGCTATATGGGTGCAACTTGCTAACTTGAACGAACAGCCCGGATCGACAACAACCATGAGGATAATTCGATCTAAGTTTCCAAGAAAGACAAGAGAAAGGGTTGGGGAGATGCGGAGAAAAAATGACAACTGGACTGCGGAAGATTTACTCGATGCCTTTGATAAAGTCATCGACCAATTAGAAATTATGGAGGATACGGATCCAACACCTACAGCAACGTCAAAGTTATGCGTTGTAGACAACCCGCAATCTAGTTCACGACAGTTCAATAAGTCATCGCGTAGAAGGCCGTCAACTCAAAGAAGCTCAAGCTCACGTAGTGATGGATCACAAAGAAGGAGCTTGTCAAATGAAAAGCGGACAGGAAAGAAACAGCTACGGTGCAGCTTTTGCCTTCAAACTAGGCACAAAACTGCATATTGTGACGAAGTGGTATCACCCTACGCAAGAAGGAAGATAGTAGTGCAATCGAAGTTATGCTGGAAGTGTCTGAGGGCCGGACACCAAAGACTGCGATGCGACGCACCCCCATGTCGGACTTGCGGGAGAAGTCATCACTGGTCCCTATGTCTTCAAGGGACTTATTCTCCACAGTCAAAGCCAAAAAGCAAAAAAAACCAAAAACCCTTCCCGAAAATAGTCCAAGAACAGGCTGAATGGAAGGGAAAAGTCAGTAGACAGCTCCTCGTCAGACGCAAATCCAAGAAACGAGTTCAGAACAAACTCAAGATCTCCGAGTCCATATTCAAGAGGACGATCACCGGTAAGGAAACACAAACAATATCGAAAAGGATCGCCTCACCCAAAAGTGGGATTCAGAGATTCACCGAGAACTCATACGTACACAAATCCATTTCTCACTTCAGAGAAGGTCCCAACAAGCCCAAAAACAGAGGACGAATCAGACCGATTCTCTGATGAAATAGACGACGAAGTATTTTGCGTCAACACAACAAGGGGACTGAAGCATCCCTAACCAATGCAGTACACAAAAGAAAAAGTACCAGAAATGAAAACAGCGAAACCCTGTTCAATCCACCACGTCTTCATTGTGTAGTGAAAGCACTAACTCTCAACAGGAACACAAAGATGAAGCAAATCTTAACAGTGCTTCTAGACAGCGGTTCACAGCACAGCTACATAAAAGAAGACACGGCAAGAACTTTAGCTGAAATGAAGACGCCCACGATATTACAGCCATAACATTCGGTGGCTTCACACACCGAAACGTCTTACCGCGTCAAGATCGTGCTCCAAGACAAATCGAGAGGCTATAAAACCAAACTGCATCTGTGGACACGGAAAACAATTACTACAGTATCCGCACATACAGATGGGAATGACGAATTCGACAATAGCCGACGCCATAATGAAAGAACAGAGGTTGACGTCCTTATAGGAATGGACTACTACTGGGATGTAGTCGATCACAAATGCAACCGACAACTTCCATCAGGGCTAGTCCAATCCAACACAAAACTTGGACCTGTTTTGTCTGGTAACGCATCACCCGCTTCATCCCGAACCCATTCTGTTTCAGACACAGACCCAACAGAGGACCAACAAGACACTGCTGAAGTGGAACGCTTAGTCCAACGTCTATTCGGGCTAGAGTCCATGTGTTTCCAGAGATGAGGCGGACAACGTGAACGATAAAATAATACAACGCTTTTATGACACAGTACGAACGAAGAACGGTCTTATCTACGTCCAATTCCCGTGGAAGACAGATCATCCACCTCTTGCGGACAACAAAGCGCTTGCAGTTCGAAGATTGGAAAACCAATACAAAAAACTTCGTCATCAACTCCAAGTTATGGGAAGAATATTGCAAGACTTTCGAACAACAACTGAGGTCAGGAATAATCGAGGATGTAAAGAAAAACTCTACTCAGGGGAACGGGTATACTATATTCCCCATCAAGCCGTTCTCAAGGAAGATAGCGCCATAACAAAATTACGTATCGTTTTTGACGCGTCTAGCCACATGAAAGGCGTGCCAAGTCTAAATGATTGTGTCCATCAGGGGCCAACGCTATTGCCAGACTTATGCGGCACCTTACTACGAGCACGCTTGACTCCAGTACTCATCATATCAGACGTGGAAAAGGCATTCCACCAAATCAGGCTACAAGAAGATCAGAGGGATGCTACGAGATTCCTTTGGCTGAAAGATACCACAAAAGGACCTACAAAAAGTAATACACGCGTCTTCGTTTCACTCGTATTCCATTCGGCGTAAACGCATCACCGTTCCTACTGAGTATGTCCATAAAATACGCATTGGAAAGAGATGAAAATAACCAGCTACGAGAGGAAATCCTGGCCAATACTTACGTCGACAACGTCTTGATCAGCGCTAAAACCGTCGAAGAAGGCATACGCAAACGAATAAAATGCAAAAATACGTTCTCCAGTATGGGCATGAATCTTCGTGAGTTCATGTCCAACAACGACGTGCTGGAGTCTATTCCAATAGAGGACAGAATGAAGACGTCAAGTAGTACAGTAAAACTTTTGGGTCTTAGATGGAATACTCAAATGGATACAATAAGTGTACCCATCAGAACAGTGTCAAAGGAAGTAACAAACAAGAGAACTGCTCTGAAAGCATTTGCATCAACATTCGACCCACTGGGCCTCCTAACCCCACTATTCATTAAAGCAAAAATATTCATACAAGACCTATGGGCCAATAAATTCGCATGGGACGACCCCTTTGACGAAACTACTGCAGAAAGATGGAAATGTATCGCAAATGATATTAGAGGATATATCGGAAGTATACCGCGAGTCATAACTACTACAGAGAAAGCTAAGCATGATTTAGTAATTTTCTCGGACGCATCACAGAGAGTTTATGCAGCAGTTGCATACCTAGTATGTCGACCAACGAGATCAAGGTCATTCAGCAACTTGGTATTTGCAAAAGCTAAATTAGCAACCATGAAGAAAATCTCAATTCCAAGACTAGAGTTGCTAGGCTGTGTTCTAGCAACAAAGCTAGTTCGTTTTCTTAGAAAACAACTTAGAATCTCTCTTAGTTCAGTTCGAATATTATCAGATTCGCAGATAGCTCTCTACTGGATACATTCCGACAAACAGTTAAAAACTTTCGTTGACAACAGGGTCAAGTCCATCAAAGACGTGA